AATGTGAAGCTCCAATTTGCATCATAAATAAACCCAAACAAGCACTTTTCCCATCCTCTTAAGCTGTGACTAAAGTCAGTCTAAAGGCTGAGGGTGTGGGGGGTATTTTGAGGAGAGCAGAAAGCCATGCTGTGAGAGGGACACAGTGGCTCCTGCTCAAGGAGGCCATTTCAGTGCTTTCCCATAAATCCCATGCATTGGGGAAAGAGGCCCATGTGCTCTTATAAATAAACCCAAACAAGCACTTTTCCCATCCTCTTAAGCTGTGACTAAAGTCAGTCTAAAGGCTGAGGGTGTGGGGGGTATTTTGAGGAGAGCAGAAAGCCATGCTGTGAGAGGGACACAGTGGCTCCTGCTCAAGGAGGCCATTTCAGTGCTTTCCCATAAATCCCATGCATTGGGGAAAGAGGCCCATGTGCTCTTACCCCCACCAAGACGTTATGAGCTCCATTCTCATCCTTCGCCACCCTTGGCAGTGGGGAAGGACCAGCTGGATGAGCTCAACCCAGGCTCTCCATGTATTTATTTACTCTGGGCAATTCTGCTCCTCCCCACACAGGGGCTTTCCAGACAGTTCCTGTTTATTTTGGGGAAAGGAAAGACCACGTCAAGGAATTGGTATGAGCTGAAGCTGCCTTCCAACCAGCCCCAAATGGTGATTTTTTTGCTGTTGTCTCCAACCCAAACCTTCAGCTCCTGGAAGATTACCTCTTGCTAGCACGTCTGCCCTCATCTAGCACCCTGATCCTTTATTTTGGAATGAATATGCAGCAGGAGGGTGAGTTTGGCTGGAATCCCAACCTCTCCATTGCTGGCGAGGCTGTTGGGAGCTCAGGAAACGTTACAGCCATGGAGCCCTGCCCCAGCCCAAACTGATCCAGAGATCCCAGCTTTCCTCTTGTGGGGTGGGAGCACTGGGTGTGCTATGCCCCAAGGTGCCAGCACCGTGCAGGCAAAGAATCAGGCTCAACCCCAGTGAGAGAAACCTGTTGTGCCAAAAGGGCATGTACCAAATGATACCACGTGTGCCAGGAGTGTGGCCAGGCTGCTTTCAGGTCAGATGGGAAAACAGCCCTTTTCCCCCCTGAATTCCCTGCCTAGCTCTTTAGGAATGAGCAGGGATGCTCCTGCACCAGGATGCCAGTGCCCAGCTAGTCCCGAGGGCAGCTGCTCCCTCCTGCCCGAGGCCGGGAGGGCAGCAGTGCCAAAGGGATGGAGGGAGCACCAATGTCTGCAGGGGAAACTCCTCTCCTTGATTTAAGGTCCTCGAATGATGGCAATTCCTCACACCTCACGCTGTGCTCTGCCGGCAGCTAATTACCCTCGCTGGAAAAGCTGCCCTCAGATTTCCACCTTGACTTTGCTGACTTCAGCTTCCCTGCTGTTGGATTCTGCTTTGCCTTTGGCTGCTAATTAAAAAGCCCTTCAGCCTTTGCTGGCTGCTCCTTGCATAGGTAATTACGGACCGTGCTCCAGCCACCTCCTCAGCTTCCCAGCAGCTCTCGGACCAGCGGTATTCCTCTGAGAAAAACGTGCAACCTCTTCCCAATCCACCTCCTGATGAATGGTATTGCTGGGGGGGCCGGCTGGTCACCTGTGGAAGAACCAAGCTCTGCGTTTTCCAGGCCTAAGGAGCGTGTTTCAGGTGGGATTTGTCCCAGCCCAGACAGCAGTGGATGTGTCTGTGCTCCCAGAGCTCATACAGCCCTCACTGCGACACTGTGCCAAAGGCAGAGGGAAAGGCAGTGGCCCCTTCTCCAGCAGAGATGGAATGAGGCAAGGTGAGTCTTCCAGACTCCTCCCAAAGGAGCTCAGCTCCGTCTAAACAGTTCTTTGGCTGAGGCAGACCCAGGGGATCCCCCCCTGCCTTCCTGCCCGCCCCTCGATCCCAAATCTCAGTAAGATCTGGGGTTTTCTTTGGCATTTGGCTCCCTTTTTTTTAAGTTTAAAACTGCCATGGGCCATGTGCCCTTTCTCCTTGCTCTCTGCAGAGCAGCCAAGGCTGCTCAGACTTTCCAAACATGAGTGGGACATGGCCCAGACCTAAATTTGTCCCGGAAAAACTGTAAGCAGCTGAAAGAACAGACAGGAGGTGAGGGGGGAGCAAAAAAAGGAAGAAAGGGAAAAAAAAAGTCCAATGAATTTGCTGTCGCAATAAGCAATGAGTGTGTTGGGGCTCGTGGGTTTTTTTGTTTGAAGGTGTATTTTTAACCCCCTCATCCCCCTCCACAAGGAGAGGGTAATTAAGCAGTGTGAAAGCTCAGTCACACATGCACTGAACCAGCCGTTCTCAGCAGAGCATATGGCACCTCTGCTGGCACTGTGGGGCCCTGTGCCCTCAGAGGGCACATGGCACAGCAGCTACGTGGCCTGGGGTCACTGCAGTGTCAGCCCTTTGCTGGGGACACACCCTGGCCTGACACCTCTCCCCACAGCTCTATCAGGGTTTGCTCCAGGGTGGTCAATCTTTTCCTGGGGAAAAGAGCAATTGGGGATTTTGCTTTTCTCTGCCTCCCCCATCATTTTTCCTGCTTTTTCTCCCAGGCAACCAGTGAGTTTCCAAGTGTCATTGAGCACCTCTGGTCGGTGTGAAGGGGACCAAAGGCCATCACTGTTCAGCCACCTCAAATCTGCAGCTGCCACTCTCCAAGTTACCTGTCCTGCTACCCATGCTGCTCCAGTGCCTTCAGGGTTTTACAGGGAGCTGATCCAACTGGCCAGCAAGTTTCCTCCTTTTTTTAGGGTTTTTTCCCCCTTTTCTGCTGTAATCAGCACTTCATAAATCACATCAGGCCCA